GATAACATCACGGAGCACGGCGAGCTACTTGCTGCACGTGTAGCCGACGGTCCTGCCGAGCGTCGCATGGCCAGCGCAGCTGCTGTGGACAGCACGGCTGTGCCTTCTTCAGGCGCTGCCTCGGCCGGTGCAGCGCATGCTGCCGTAGCTAACACCGACGGCGGCGTGACGACAACGACGACAACAGCGGCAAAGGCGTCTGCTTCATCGGCCGCTTCGTCGGCCGCCTCTCCTGCTCATGCAAGCAAGGCTGGCAGTGCGACTTCCCCGACAGGCGCCCGTACTGTGACTGGCGCGAGCAACGCTGCACCCTCTGCCGACAGAACCAGTAGTGGCGGCGCTAAAGCAACTGTAGGAAAGGCAGCAGCGACAACAGTAGTACCAACAGCAACAACAACAGCACCAACACCAGCATCAGCAGCAGCAACAGGCAGAGCCAGCAGTGGTGGCACGAAAACAACTGGAGGCAAAGCAGCACCAGTAGGCAGTGGCGGCAGTAAGGTGGTCGCGTCGGCGAAGAAGAAGAAGAGCAAGGGTGGTGCGGCATCTTGAACGCACTGCTCGCCTTCACCAGGCTGGGGGTGTGTATTTCGTGGACATGGCTACAATCAGCTGAAAGTGGAGCTGCCTTTGACATCCGTGGAGTCAGCTGATAGTGAAGGTGTCCTTATTGATGCTGGTGAAGTGAGCTGAGAGTGGAGCTGTCCTTATTGATACTGGAGTAGTCGGCGTAGAGTGGAGCTGTCATTGAAACCGGAGTGGAGCACGATGAATAGCTGTGATGCCGTGTTGTTGCTCATACTGCACTGTGCTGGTCTGCGCTGCAAGCACTCACGGCAAGCTCTCCATAACTGCACCTCTGCACAGGTTGTGTCTTTCATACCAGTCCTGTGAAGCTAGGATTGGAAATGCTCAACTGGTTTTATTCAGCACACAATCTGCTTTCCACCAGTCTCTAACACAAGCACTGGAATCTGTCTTGAGGCAGTGTAAACGCATAATTATCATCTGTTTCTCTGCAATGGCAACCCGGACATCTTTCTCTCACTACTCCACAGGATAGCATATTTGACGTGGGTGTTCCCTGCGTGGAAATACACCACTGCTCATACTGGAGTAGAAATCAAGCAGTATAACACCTGCTTCTACCTTTTCAGTTCAGGTTGCTCTTACATTTCAACCCTGCCGGTTCACTGGATGAGCATCATCAGCGTGTGCTCCAAGTGTTTCCATGCTCGCCTATACACTAGTAGCTGAAGTACTGTTTTCACAGCAGTGCCTGCCAACCGTGAGTGCTCTTTGTGAAGTACTGTTTTCACAGCAGTGCCTGCCAACAGTGAGTGCTCTTTGTGAAGTACTGTTTTCACAGCAGTGACTGCCAACAGTGAGTGCTCTCATGCAACATCACACTAGACCCTGGTTTAGAAATTAACCTGGCTGGGCGTCACAATGTTCGCGCTGGGAAATAGCATCGGCGTCTCGGTGTGCTTGGTGACATTGGTGGGTGAGATAGTTTCGTGAGGTGAGTTGACCAAGCTGTGATAACTCTCAGTTTGAGCAATGGCGGCATATTGAGCTAGCTCACTGTTTTTTGTTGTTGTTTTTTTTTACGAGAAACCACGAACCTCGAGAACAGAATACTGCATGATAGAGGTGGTTTACTGTGTCGCCGTTGATCCCGCTCACGTTCCACATAGCACAGAAACATGTTGGAAATGTGACGCCATTACTTCACTGAATGGATTCTCATGTTTATCATTATGTCATCCTGTCTTGTGTATGAGGTCATTGTGATGATCTCTGGGTATGCAGTGACATGCTTCTCTACACACTTCCGTTGATTGAGTTAGCTTCCAGATGGCTAAGATGATTATTTTGCCTTTCCGGGTCTCGTGCAAGGATCTAGCGTTGCTATGACGTTGGCATGCACTGGGTGCACAGCACCACTCAGGCATGCTCATGTGCATTGTGCAGGCTGCAGGGGTTTCCCCCTGGCATGTCCATGACGTTATGACTTTTGATATTGACTTCGTCATGAAATTGAATACGGAGCCCGTTGGGAATCGTCTTATCTATCCAAGACTGAGAATTTAATTTGAAGTACTGAAGTATTTCTTGCCGGTTATCGCCGTTAGTTGCGATTGAAACTATTACTTTTAGGGAGCGTTCATTCCTGGCCTTCATGCTCATACATACGTCAACACTTTCTGCTGGGTCTTGTTACGCGAAAGGCCGCGTGTTCCTTGGCATGTTCTCCACATTATTTCGTTTATTCTTAGTTTCTAGCTTTTTTCCTTTCCAATTTCTACATTTTCATTCTCAAAGCGCCTACACATTGTACACGATACACTGCTATCAGCGATAGTCGCTTTTTTACCGAAACTCTTGCAGTTGTTTTAGCCTTAGATTTAAATTTCCAGCTCTTCCTCCCAGCTATGTTTTATGTCACTTCACTCCAATTTTCGAGGTTTTTTTACCCCATCTTTGTTTCCTTTGTGCTTTGCGAGCTTGTTCTAGCGTGAAAGCAGCATCAAGTGAATGTCAAGACCGTCAAGATATGCCGTATACATGTAATAGACTATCAACATATATTATTGATATGTATGTAGTCAGTAGCAGGAAAACCTAGATACATATACAGTCATGTTGATGAGCAGTGAGAGCCAGGCAGAGACAGGCAGAGCCAGGCAGAGCCAGGCAGAGCCAGGCAGAGCCAAGCAGAGACATGCAGTGAGAGACAGGCAGAGACAGGCAGATACATGTCATGTTGATGAGCAGTGAGAGACACACACAGAAAGAGGGAAACAGACATGGAGAGACACAGCCAGCGACATACAGAGATAGACGAGGGAGAGAGAAAGACAGACAGACAGATAGGCCATGTCGCTGTCCATCCGTCTGTCTGAGACAGGCGAGGAAAGGAAGACAACAGCAATTGAACAGGGGTTTTGAGAGGACAAGATTTTTCAGAAGCAAAGAGGAATGTCTAGTACATTGATGAAGACAAAACCGTTTGGAGCAAGCTTTGTTCTTTGTACATCCGATATTATCGCACATTACTCCGATTCTGGAACAGTACCTTTCTGACCGAACTATTTTCCAGCAAAGAGACACCTCCTCATTTTCCACATGGAAGAATTGTACGAAAGCACCTGGAATGTGATCTACGCGCCCCGTAGCCATAACAACGGCTCTGATGCCATCATGCTCGAGAACGGAGGCTCGATCCAGCTGTGGCACTTGTCCCATACTGATCCATCGCCGATATAGCTCGGTGATCGCTTCTCTGCAGTCGTACATGTCAATTGGTTCAGACTGCTCCACAAGGAGGAACAACAGGGCTGCATCCGCAGTGAACAAAACAGCCGGCTGGTTCGCTTGATCGGCAAATAGATCGGTGATGACGTCAGTCGGAGCACACCGCCAAAGTGGCCGGACGTTTTCAGTGGCGTAGAGCTCGCCAATTAGGCTCTCAGTCGATTCCCAGCACTCAGGCGAAGGCACCAGATAAATTTGACTGGCTTCATTGGCTATTCCTCTGGACACCTTCCTCATCGTCAATGAATTGATACGGTCTCCGCTTTCAGGTGTGCCCTGAGCGTCATCACCGCCTAATCCTTCACTCGGCTTCAGTAGCCTGCTTGGACTCCGAACCTTCACAGTCACGTGAGTGGGACGCATTGCTGCTCTCCAATGAATCACTACTTTCACCGCTATCAGGTGTGCCATGAGCGTCATTCCCCACTCGTTCTTCAGTAGCCGGCCAGGTGACGGAGCCTTCACAGCTGTGCAGAAGACGCGATCTCGATGCCCAGTGTGGCGGCCGCGTCCGTCGTGGGAGTCGAGTCCAGGACTGAGGTGTCGTCCCCCAATCGTCGTCCATTGGATGCCATCAATCCGTAGAGTGACTTCGACTGAGTTGGTAGACTGCGGGACGTGATCCGAAGCGGCCAACAAATTGAAGTGAAGTTCAGTCATACTAGACGTTCCCTTTTATTCCTATTCATGTAAATCGATCTCGTACAATATCGATCGTGGACCGTTATCTGCGCGCGCGCGCGAGTTCTCACCTACAGAAGTGGTAGGTTACAGTGTTATAGCCTCTCAGTTATGAGTAGTAATTTCCACACCTACTCGTGACGTGGCCGAAGTTGGCTAATAAAGTGAAGAAAGCAGAGGACTGCTGTGTGAGTAACATGCGTTACTTTAGTAAAAGACCTTACTTCAGTAACGTCTGGCGCTAGCTAGGGTCCACACAGCTTTAATTTGGTGCTTGTGTGTGGCAGACGGACCTACGTATGACGCTATCCCGTACCTGTCCCGTACAATCAAGAATACCGTACCATCCAGAGTACCGTACCATTAAGAGAATGAGTATGTATGCGAAGTGTAGGGGGGGGGGGATGTATGCAGGCCGATAGTGCAGTGCATCGAGCACTCAAGAGTTGCGTAGTGTAGACACGATACTGGTGAAGCGAGCTAAGACAGAGATCCTTGGAATGCATGCAGGGCGATAGTCCAGTAAAAACTTATAATAATTATATTACTCAATCTGCGGACAGAACTGTTTCGTCCTTTGTGGACTCATCAGCGCAGCACAGAGGAAATGAGGCCGAACCTGATAGCAATGGAAATAAAAATTTCCAATCAGGCCCGAACGTACCTTGCCAGAGTGCTCAAACTGACAAGTCAGTGAGCTCTGCATAAAGCAAACAGCAAAGGCACTACCCCACGCAAGAGTGCTCAACTGCTACAAGAGCAGGAGCGAAATACTCAATCTGCGGACAGAACTGTTTCGTCCTTTGTGCGAAGTATATCGGGGGAATGCATGCAGGGCGATAATGCAGTAACGGCTGGCGCTAGGCAGGGTCAGAAGTGTAATGCAGTAACGTTTGGCGCTAGCCAGGGTCCACAAAAACTTACATGTATGCGAAGTGTATTAGGGGGAATACTGTCGTACCCAGATGCACACATTCAATCCCTGGCTACGCTTTGGAATTGTTTTCGTTGCCTATGTCCTCATCTCTCTTCGTTTTGTTTTCGCTGCCTGGGCTCTCATTTATCTTTGCTTGCTTGCTTGTATTGCCGAGGGAACATAATTATGCTGGTTTGTATTCGTGGGTCCCCATGGTGCATGGGCCACGCGTACTCATCCGGCGGATATGTGTGAATAATAATAATCATTTGTGAAGGATTGGGAGAACTTCAAATTCAAAGGATCAGTCGGGGAAGTGAACTGCCCGAAAAGAGAAAAAAAACGCCAGACCCATCAGGACTCGAACCTGGGACCCTGCTTGTCATGAGCAATGCTCTAACCACTGAGCTATGGGACCAGGCTGAACCTCTGATCCTTTGAATTTGAAATTCTCCCAATCCTTTACAAATTTAATCACTTTCTTTCACCTCTGGTAGTTTCCAGAAACTGACCGTGGTTGGCCCCCTGGGGGAGGGAAAAAGACCCAAGTGTCATCAGTATGTGTGGCACGTGTTGTGAGCTGCCTTTGGAGTGAAAAACTTGTCAGCGCCTTCTAGGTTCAGCCTGGTCCCATAGCTCAGTGGTTAGAGCATTGCTCATGACAAGCAGGGTCCCAGGTTCGAGTCCTGGTGGGTCTGGCGTTTTTTTTTCTCTTTTCGGGCAGTTCACTTCCCCGACTGATCCTTTAGCTTTGAATAATAATATTAGTAATAGAGGGAATGCATGCAGGGCGATGGTGCAGTAACGTCTGGCGCTAGCCAGGGTTAGGCATGGGCGGGTAATGCTAGTTATTTGCTGCGATAATGCTAAAGGCAATGCTCATAACATGAGGATAATTATAATGCCACTTCTAATGCTCACACTACTCCATAATGCCAGTTTGAAAGTTGGAAAAGTCGATTTAAGAAGGCCGTCTTGGATCAAGGCCAAAGCGTAGAAGAAAAAAAACTTAAACGGCAGTGAGCATGTTGTCTGAAACAATCCACTGAGAAGGTTGATTTGCAACGTCAAGTCTTCGGACGAAGCCGGACGGGTTCAGATGCACGATTTTCGGAACTGGGCCTAGCCAGCTTCATGCATGACACCGTTGTCGACCGGAAATTATGATTGTAATGCCAATTTTGCATGCGAAATGGTGTTATAATGCCAGCATTATGCCACCTGGGAAAAAGAGACTATAATGCCAGCCATAATGCTAACATTACCCGCCCATGCCTAGCCAGGGTCCACAAACACAGGGTAGAAGTGAGAGTTATGTATGCGAAGTGTACCGGGGGAATACATGCAGGGCGATAGTGCAGTAACGTCTGGCGCTAGGCAGGGTCCACAAAAACTTATAATGTATGCCGAAGCGTATAGGGGGAATGCATGCAGGGCGATGGTGCAGTAACGTCTGACGCTAGCCAGGGTCCACAAACACAGTGTACAAGTGAGAGTTGTTATATCGAGAGCAGACCACTTTACGACTAATGATTTACATACACAACCTCGGGGAGCAAAAGTCTCCATAAGCTGCCACATACCAACTAAATACAAAACCATGCACTTCAAACGACCTGACTTGCACGCGTGGCCCTTTTCACGAACCCAGACAAAAGTGCATCGGGGGAGCCAAAGCCGGGATCCCGGGTGCCTTGGGGCGGGATCCCGCCTCGCAGGGCCAGCCCGCTTGACATGTAAACGCACAACAGGTTTTGTGTGGATTTGTGTGCAAGGCATATATCCCACTAGCAGGCTGGCTGGCCCGCCTGTCGACCAGCCCGGGAAGCGCATGTAGGCCGATAGCATAATAATTACAGTCAACTTCGCTTATAACGACACTCGGCGGGGCATCAAAAAGTGTCCTTATTCGCGAAGAGTCGTTATACCCGAAGTCTCATTATGTGTTACAGTTGGAAGGGACTTTGCTCTGGGCATGGAAATTCTGTCGTTATTCGCGAATTGTCGTTATATCCGCAGTCGTTATTAGCGAAGTTGACTGTATAACGTATACACTGCCCTGTTATCGCCTCTATTCTCACCTATATCCGTTAACTCTCACAAAACAACTCAATACCACTGTCCCAATGCCACGTCTACACTTCGCACATATGCACTAACTTTCACACTAGCATCAAATATCTACGCCTGCTCGTAGAGAATTCGATAGTGAATGCTGCTGCCTGATGATCGCTCCGATGCGTGAAACTTTAAGTTACAGCTAACACAGCCTTTCGCCTCTCTTGGGTGTGTATAACGTATAGATGTATAGCAGGGAGTCGTATTATGTATACAACTCGTATTATGTATACGACTCGTTCCCGTAGCTATGCAGAAGACGCTACTTCAGTAACGTCTGGCGCTAGCCAGGGTCCACTGAGCTTTATTTTATCCCGTACCTGTCCCGTCCCGTATCATCAAGGTGTGTATTTGTGCCGTTGGCATGCCTGGCGCTATCCTGCACCTGTCCCGTCCCGTATCATCTAGGTGTGTATTTGTGCCGTTGGCATGCCTGGCGCTATCCTGCACCT